TGAAAAATTCATGAGCGTTATATACGAGTATTTATAATAAAATTAACGGTTATAACAAATAATATTCAACTGTACTAGGTCATTCACTAATATTCTACCACCCTTCTTTTTACCTTTCCGTCTAAGAAAAAATAGTAATGATAATAAAGTTTTCGGAAATGTTCTTACTATCAAAGAAAAATACAGGATGTCCGCAAATTTCACCGACAACGTTTGACTGCATATTCACGACGATAAATAAATACGATCTACGAAAAAAAAGTTAAATAAAAACTTTTTTGTTATTGAGTTACATGCCTTCAAAGTTGTCAAAAATAAAACTAACTTAATTAATAACTTCATAACTCTATTACCGATCGCGTTAAAATTTGGTACATTTATTTGGACTATTATTGCGTATTATTTCTTTAGTTTTAGTTAAATCGATATGCTGGGTGATAGTTTTCTCCGGTTACCTCTCCCTCTTAACGGTCAAACTTTTACAGTGGTCGTATTTTTTTAAAACGGGCAGCAACATTGAAATGGGCGTTTTATTTAAAAAAAATTGTGTCTCTTGAGAAAATCGCCTAGAGGAAGTCATTCTTGAGAAAAATCGCATTATTTGCAGGTCTACATTCTTCGGTTTGCGTAGCAGTGTCACGAATTTAAAACTTTGAGTTCAGTTGGCGATGAAAACAAGATGTTGATTGCTGTGGCTATCAGGGAATGTCATTATTGTCGTGTTTCTTTATGAAGTGTCCGCAGTGTATCAAGACAATTAAACGGAGTTGTAAATTTTCATAATTTGCATGTGTGGAGTAATGAGAATACTAAAGAAACCCGATAATAATCACATTACCTGATATCCACAAGAATCAAGGTCTTGTTTTCATCGTCTACTGAACTCAAAGTTTTAAACCGAAACGTACACACATGCAAATAATGCCATTTTTGTCAATAATGGCTTTCTGTAGGCAAATTTCTCAAGAGACATTTTTTTTTCAATTAAATGACTTTTTCAATATTGCCGCCCGCTTTAAAAAAATAAATACGACCACTGTAAAAGTTTTGACCGCTAAAAGGGAGAGGTAACCAGAGAAAACTATCACCCAGTATATCGATTTGACTAATGCTTTAAGAAATAATACGCCATAATAGTTCAAATAGATGTACCAAATTTTAACGCGATCGGTAAAAGGGTTATGAAGTTATTAATTAAATTAGTTTTATTTTTGACAACTTTGGCCTGTAACTCAAAAACCAAAAATTTTTTATTTAACTTTTTTTCGTAGATCGTCTTTATTTATCGTCGTGAATGTGCAGTCAAACGTTGTCGATGAAATTTGCGGACACCCTGTATATAAAAACAAATGACTTTACATTTCGAATATATGTATGAACAAAACTTTTTTTATAGGAAAACTCTGTGGAGTTGTAGATTTTTGTATTTTTTTCTTTTTCCTGATTACAGTGATTTCACAACGTTACAAAAATAAATAGGCTGGACCTTGAACCAAACCACTATTTCCTTTGACCTGCTGAATCCGAATCTAAAGTCAGAATTCCAGAATCAGTTCTTATTTTGCCATAACATCTATGCTCCTCTAGGCAGCAGTTTGAAAGATTTCAAAAGGACTCAAGCAGTCAGTGATTGGAAAAACCTTCAAACTCATGATCTCATTGCACCATTAGCTTAATAACCCCAGGACCCCGTTACTCCATAACTCGGATCTTGCGGGATTGTACAATCATGACATTCTTGACCACATACATCAGGAGTCACACCAATCCGAAAATAACCCTTACGAAAGTTGTTGGGTTCAGAGGGGGGCATCGGATAGTACATTAATGGATGCATAATTAAATTTACTTTAAAATGATATTATAGTTTCCCATACCCAAAGTTAACAGTTCTTGTGTAAATTGGAAATTATTGATTTCAACACAGAAAAATCTACGAGTAGGTATGGTAGGTTTATTTAAAGCATCGCCCTTTTTAATTTAATATATTGATTTATTGTTTTTGATGAAGGTATAACGATAATAAAAATTACAGTTCATTAATCAAACACCGCTTATTATTCAATTCTTTAGTGGATCAAATCCAACGTATATTTTTCTGTGTTGAAATCAATAATTTCCAATTTACACAAGAACTGTTAACTTTGGGTATAGGGAACTACAGTATCTTTTTAAAGTAAATTTAACGTCACAATAATGGTCACATGTTCTTAAACACTCTGTATTAATTTATGCAAATTTGACGTAAACTGGTTGAATTCCATTAGTTTTAAATTATCCATGCTAAATTTCATTACCAAATAAAGCTAAATGTCGGTTATTCTATTTTCAATAACTTACATCCCACAATTTTTTTCAAAATTGATAATAACTTGAAAACAGTCACATTTTGATCTATAGTACCTTATATAAAATTAGTCTACATTTTACCGTAGAATTAAAAAATGCAAAGATATACAGAGCATTCCATTTGAAATAACAGAGTTGATGATGACTTCCGGTCTAACCGGAAGTGCGAGAAAGTTGACACTATTTTCATTGAATAGATCTTTTTGATAGGTATTAATGGATGGATATAGAAAATGTTACTTATATATTTGAATTTGTTCGTACAGTGTATGGGTTTGATAATAAATACTTTAGCGACACGAAGCATTATGATTTTGATAAAGTGATAATAAAAAAACTACATTAAATCCAATAAACACTAAAATATTACGATTTAATAGTCAACCAATTTTATTACCTACTATACGCTCTTGCTGCAAATCTCATTTTGATGAAAAATTCATGAGCGTTATATACGAGTATTTATAATAAAATTAACGGTTATAACAAATAATATTCAACTGTACTAGCTCATTCACTAATATTCTACCACCCTTCTTTTTACCTTTCCGTCTAAGAAAAAATAGTAATGATAATAAAGTTTTCGGAAATGTTCTTACTATCAAAGAAAAATACAGGATGTCCGCAAATTTCACCGACAACGTTTGAAAAGAGTTATGAAGTTATTAATTAAGTTAGTTTTATTTTTGACAACTTTGAAGGCATGTAACTCAATAACAAAAAAGTTTTTATTTAACTTTTTTTTCGTAGATCGTATTTATTTATCGTCGTGAATGTGCAGTCAAACGTTGTCGATGAAATTTGCGGACACCCTGTATATAAAAACAATTGACTTTACATTTCGAATATATGTATGAACAAAACTTTTTTTTTATAGGAAAACTCTGTGGAGTTGTAGATTTTTGTATTTTTTTCTTTTTCCTGATTACAGTGATTTCACAACGTTACAAAAATAAATAGGCTGGACCTTGAACCAAACCACTATTTCCTTTGACCTGCTGAATCCGGATCTAAAGTCAGAATTCCAGAATCAGTTCTTATTTTGCCATAACATCTATGCTCCTCTAGGCAGCAGTTTGAAAGATTTCAAAAGGACTCAAGCAGTCAGTGATTGGAAAAACCTTCAAACTCATGATCTCATTGCACCATTAGCTTAATAACCCCAGGACCCCGTTACTCCATAACTCGGATCTTGCGGGATTGTACAATCATGACATTCTTGACCACATACATCAGGAGTCACACCAATCCGAAAATAACCCTTACGAAAGTTGTTGGGTTCAGAGGGGGGCATCGGATGGAGACTTTCAATTTGGCCTTGATGAAGAAAAAGAGCCTTAAGTACGTAAATTCGGGGTCAAAAATAGAGGTTCCTATTTAAAAAATTAGGTTTGACCTTCAAATTACCTTGAAGGTTAATGTCAAGGTCAAATTAAAGGTCACCATCCGATATCCCCCTTCGCACCCAACAACTTTCGTAAGGATTATCTTCGGATTGGTGACTTTCCTGACGAGATATCCAGGTGCGTAATTTAAAATATTTTGTCCTTGAAATAACCGTTAAAGGTCATTCAAAGAAAAACCTTATGTACTGAACGTAAAATTTTCGCTCTTTTCGTATCCGAGGTCGAAAATTAAAAAAAAAATAGATTTGAGCTTCAAATGACCTTGAAAGTCAAGGTCAAGTTCAAATCCGAGGTGATCATCCGATGTCGCCCTCCGGACCCAACAAATTTCGTAAGAGTTATTTTTGGATTAGTGGCTTCCTTGAAGGGATATTCAGATGCGTAATTTGAAATAGGACACCCTGTATATTAGGGTAGATGGATTATGGGAGTTAATTGAGTATCTTCAAAAAACGAGGCATCTGCGCACCAATGTTTATATGAACTTTTTGTCTTAAAATCACTCAAATAATAGTCTGTTGAATTGATTGTACATACTTATTTAACACCCTGTATATGAAAATATTACATTTAAATATCTATTATGATCCAAAATCGTATATCTTATGCGGACCCAAGAAATGTTTCATTTTAGGCGACTTTGCTCCTCGATATCTCGAAAATTGTCCATTTTCGAACTTTGTGCCCATTGACACACTCTTGATCAGGAGGATATCAGGTACAAAATATTAAAAATCCAGACACATCCACCAGAATCTGAAATCCATAAGGTTTGTGTGGGGTCCTTTATTGTATTTTATTCTAAAAAACGACCTATTTATTATTCAAAATATATAAGAAACATATTCACCATTTGACTTACTTTTGCCCTATAGAGTTTATTTAAAAAAAATCATTTAGATAAACTATGTATATATCTTGAAACCATTTAAACCTGATGCATCTATTCAGGACAAATTATTTTACAAAAGCTTTTTTCTGAAGGAATATATACTAAAAAATTATTAATTGCTCTGATGTTAGATCCCTTGCTACCTAAAGTAGATAGAGAAAAGTTTTAAAACATTCTTTCATATCGCAACAGAATTACCGATATAAATTTTGCAGATAAGGTGTATTACATTAAAGAAACTGTATTTAAGAACAGTTTGCACAACTTTTCTCGGTGGAAAGCCAAAAGTGTTTGTTTTAAATAACTCAAAGGAAACAAAATCTTAATGAAATCAATTTTCCTCCCCTTTGCAGTTTATTAAAGAAGCATGGCTAACCTATCCTTACCACTGCTGCGCTTTCAAGTTTCCCCGAACGCACAACCCCTGGGAGTACGAGAAGCACACCAGGCTCGTCCACCAACTCCACGAGGCCTGTGCTGCGAAGAATACCACTGTCAGCTATGTCTTGCAGGTAACGAAAACAAACATATTTATTGGATTTGAATAAAATTTTGTGAAAACTATAAATTATCTAAAAATAAAACAAAGGAGCCGCATAGTCAAGCCATTTTGTCCTATAAGATCATTTCTCTCACAATCATGGTGCAGGAAAATCATGTGAAACTGAGCTGGTTTCTTAGTCAATAATGTGACAAACAATGAATTAGTGGCCAGAACTACTTTTCGGGCTGCCACAATTTTATCTAACAAGATGTGTACAGAAATTGACACCAAGTGAGTTCGATTTGTTCAATAGTTTAGTTTTTTAGTAATAAAAGTAGTTTGAATCTAGTGATCAATTAAAACTGACTGCAAACAAATTTTTACAGCTGGTAGAGTCCTGCAAACACGAAATACGACAGCTCCTTCCTCGATGTGAAAAATAGGTACCTATTTAGTGCACATTTTTATTTTATTTCCGTTTAAAGCAAAGAATCCGTTAATATTACTCGATTTACTGTTATATTTCTTTTGTTAAATTATATTTCAAGTTTGTTAATAACTTCCGGGTAATTATAGTTATTGCATCGTTTTAATTAATATGCCACAAACAAATAAAGAAGAGATTTTAATTGATAGTAAAACTGAAATGCGAAAGTGTAATCAAGCCAATTAAGTTTCCGGCCATATATTTGAGCTAAAATAAATATATACCTATAAAACCCGTTAATAGTAATGTACTAGAAGTTATATTTTCCATTCAGCTAAATAATATGGCTATTAAAAAATAAACATATAAATATTAAATTATTGGTAATCCATTTTTATAACAGAAGGTATGATTATATTTAGAATATTATAGTTTATATTTTATGCCAGATATAAATTCGTTGCAAGTATTAGAAATTTAATGCAATGGTTTTCTAATTTGTTGTTGACATAATTTGTAATTCTAAAGGCATTTTTATTTTATTTTACTTGTACTACAAAATAAAGAAGTATTTTGACTTCAAAACATTGCGCGTTCTAATTAAAAGTGTTTACATATACAAGATATGAAGTGAATTTGTGACAAACGTTAAAGGGCAATTCATGTCCAAATAAATAAAAAGTTAAAGATAATATGTCTTTTAATCTGGGCTAAAAGTTTCTCTGTTTTCTATCATGCAGAAAATTAAGAATATCTGGAATATATTTCTAGTTCATTCCATTTCTCCATCAATATAATCTTAGATTTGTTTTCTACAAAAAATTCTATTCGCGTGTTCTAATTCTGTCTCTGATTTCTGTAAACTTTTTAATGTGTAGAAGAAATAACAAAAATGTAGTTCTGTTTGCTACACCAGTGTTACTTCACTGCAAACTCCACTTTGTGAGATGTAAATACAGTATACACCAGGAAAATTAGCGAAAACAAAAGAGAAACTCGAAAAAATTCCTATCTGCGAGATTATTGTAAAATTGTCTAAAGGTACATAATATAAGACGTCTCTCATCTCGTGAGTCAAAAACTTTTATAAGCTAACTTTTCTATTTAAACAAATAAGTGAGGAAAACAGTTTTTTTCACTTTGCATTTTTTCTGGGGTTCAGGGCTATTCTACGAATTCGTAAATATGTCCATTGTTATTTTTTCGTCGAGCTACCACGGTTTAAAAAAATTATAAGTTTCTACGATAAATAGAAGCCGAGATATTGCAAAATTTTCAGCGCGCATCAATTTGAATTTCCCCCACCACCACGCCGCCGGCCGCCGGACAGTTTACTTAGCGAGTACCTTCTCTTTAAAGGGCTCGTGAGTCGTTAATTTTCTATATTTTTCAATGCAATTCACGGCAAATCGTAGTTTACGTCGTAAACTTTATTTTGCGAAAAATTCAAGTCTTAATATTTATAAACAATTGCGCTACGATTTTTTAAAAAAAAATTCTTATCTTGGCTCCTGTTGGTCGTAGAGGGCACTTTTTTTTTTTTAAAACTGTATTTTTTTTCCAGCTATCCATTGCACCTATTTTCGGTGAGATAGCATAAATAGCAACAATGTTATTCAAATTGTTTATAAGCGAAAAACGCACGGTTTTTTAATGCACAATTTGAGAATGTTAATGTCAAAAAAACGGTGATATTTTTTAATAGGTCGCTTAATTGCGTCTTTAAGATTACAATGACGCTTTCAGAATCATGTTTGATTGAAAATTAACGTCTGTACAGAGGCTTAAAGTTCATAACTTTTGGAGCCTCCGCTATAAACAAATAGAATTGTGCGAAAACTATTGCACCTACAGCGCCCACTTTTGGCACACTTTTAAAGTATGACAAAACCCTCAACTTGTCATAGGTTTTATAAAATTTTAACAATAAATGCGATAGTTATAAACAAATGAAAAAATGGGCACTTTTCTTGTTTTTTTGCAATAACTTTTTTGTTTATTAACCGATTTTAATTTAACCAGTCTCATTTTGTAGATAATTTTACTCCCTACAAGCTGTCTGTGAGTCACTTTTCGCTAAAATTGATGGTTTTCCATGCAAAGTGAAAAAACTGTTTTCCTCACTTATTTGTTTAAATAGAAAAGTTAGCTAATAAAAGTTTTTGACTCACGAGAGGAGACATGTCTTGTATTATGTTCCTTTAGACATAATCTCGCGGATAGGACTTTTTTCGAGTAAAAATCTTATGCTTGGCCTAATAGTAGAAATCAAGATTTAGGCTCGATTTCATATCAATTATTTTATTGTGACTGTTATTTGTGTCGGTTTATATCGAAATTGACAAAACGGCAATAGCAATATCAACCGGTATGATTTTTTTCAAGGTTTCATAACTATAAAGCAGCTGTAAAAGTGAAATGAAAGTTTTTGTAAAAATATACCTTCATAGAGGGTCTTTTATTTCGTTAAACATAATGTTGCGAGTTCCTACGAAGTTAAAACAGGTCGAAGTTTTAATCTATTGACAATATATCTTTAATATTAATGGCAAATTTTCTTCGTGTTTTGACTATTTATGAATAAAAATCCACTTTTTCGTAGCTCGTTTTATCGAAGTGGTGCCGCAATACTCACAACAATCTGTATTTTATATACAGAGTCCAATAACTAGTTAACAGAAATAGAGAGTAAACAGTTTTGGAGCAACTCATAAATATGTTTGAGACACAAAATGAAAATATTATATGAACTAAGTATTAAATATTTGCCTTCTAAAAATATATGTTTTGATGTACACCGTTTTAATATAAAAAAATACTACAATACGCAATGTAGCTGTGTGTAGTCGTCTCATACATTTTTTATAAAACATATATTTCGATGCAAGTATCGCCACAAGTAACCATGAATAATGTGTCTCAGAAATATTTATTTACATGAGAATTTGTTTGATGTATTCTTAGTAATACCTGTTTTTCTTCCGATTTTACTTGAAAATGTGTCTTTTGTAAAAAATTTTCAGAAGCAGTAATTTTGTCAATTGCCACATGCTAAAGGGTCAAAGTTTGCAATATCAAGGGACAAACAAAATTCTATATTTTCCTTATCAAGAAAAAGTGAGTTCCACGCAACCTATACGTTTATTAAATTTGCTACTAATTTTTAAATGGTTTAGAAGATAACAGAAAATCGTTGTCAACAGGTCATCTTCAAGCTGCTACGGGTACAGCTTTATGAGAAGTCAGAAATAAACTCTAGTTCATTTGAACTGTTTCGAATTAATTGACATCAGATGCAAGGTGTTTCGAAAATAGCTGATGCAAATGAAACAGTGAATTTTTTAGCTCATATAACACAGTCACACAAAAAAAGAAGTGTCATATGGTTTTGACCAAGTTAATTGTATTTTGACGCGCTTAATCCGAATCCACTGTCAGAATTGCGCTAAAACGGTCACATTTTTTTCTAAACTTCTCCAGATTAATCCAGAATTGGATCCTTGGGGGTTTTAGGGGTTGCTGATCACGAATACGAAGCAAATTCAACATGATGAATCCAATATGGCGGACCAGAATCCAATATGGTTGATTTTATGGATAAATGTATGCATGCATCTTTAGACGGACGGCTTTTTTAAAACAGGACTGGGCCTTTGAATGTATGGATAGTGGGATGACCTGACCAACTAAATCATCCACAAAAGGGCCTTTCGGTTGTGTAACATTTAGAAGCGCATCTTATGTTTGGTTTGGGAGTTTGGATTGTCAGCTAGCTGTTGCGTATGATTGTGTTAGGTTTGGGGTTCGCAGCTCTGTCAGGGCCTTTTTGTTGTGTAGGATTTAGTGGGCCAGGTTATGTTGACATCCAAAGATCCATACATTCAAAGGTCTATTCCTGTTTTAAAAAGACGTCCATCTGAAGATGCATACATTCACAAAATTAACCATACTGGATCCTGTTCCGCCATATTGGATCCGCCATGAGTTCGTATTCGTGATCAGCAGCCCCCAAAGCTCCCCAGCAATTCTGAATTCAAATTCGTGATTAACGAACCTAAAAACCCCTACATACCAAATTTTTCGTGGTTCTATTAATTTCTTGCAAACCTCGATTTCTGACCGATTTTTTTGAGGTTAGAAAAAAATCGCCTGAAAATTTCACTGTTTCAATTTCGTCAACTATTTTAGAAATAACACCCTGTATATAGTGTCGTATCCTTCTACTAAATAGTAATACGGCATTCAAATTCATTTTTTAGGACACATTCAGAGTAGATTGCTTTTAAATTTAAAAAATGTCGACATTACAATGAGGTTAATATTATCCACTACTTTACTTCAATGACTACATTGTAAATAGGGTTAGTTTTCTAGTTATAGCACTTAACTTGACTACTGAAGTTAACTATGTACTTTATGATGATTTATGAAAGAAGAAAACAAAGGCAGGACCCGTATTATGGTAGTAATTTCGAAACTATACTTATGAATATTTATACAATTCAATTTTAATAGACAACTATTTAAAAAATAACATTGTCCTTATTTTTTGCACATTAAAATTTGGTCAGAAGTAATTTTTTTATTTATCAACAGTAACTATTATAATACATTTTGTACAGCTTCTTCACGTCTATCATCCTCAATGTATTGGTTTGAAAATATATATTAATTGAATCTCGTTTGGTGACAAATAAATTCATAGATAAGTAGGCCTCTAAAACATTTACTGGTCATAAATATGATTTACGCTTCAATGTAACTTCCCCACACTTGATGGACTAAAAATTTAAACGACGGCTTTGTGACATGGATATAATGCGCAACAATGTTTCCTTAAGTAGATTATTGAGAAAAGCATTCGTAAAAAATAATGGAAATATTTCAAATTATAGCTATAAGATGACACATTATTTCGTTCTTTTGTTTTTGTCTTTGATTTTCTAGTTTTATCGTTTAGCAAAAACCGTTTTCTACTATACAGAGTAATTCAGACTTATCCGAAAAACAAAATTTTAATGTACAGTGGACTCTTACGAACACAATTTTGTAAAAAAAAATCAGAAAAGCAGTTCGAAACTGATTTAAAAATACACTTTTGTACGGTATTGGAAACTGGTCCATTGTAAAACCTGACCTGGCGCAAGGTAAGGCATGCGGTTGTAGACCGGCACAACGGCAAAATGTAATAAAAAAATGGACGGACAAAAAATTGAATTAATATTGTTAGGTATTATTAATTAATAAAATTAATTTGTGGTTTGAATTAATAAGATCATTTGACATAGCTGATGTTACAACAACTGTTCAAAATTTTGTTCACCGACGTCACTTGGGCCCGTCCGTCGTACCTAGTTTCTACGAACTAACACAAATGTCGTATTGCTTCACCATAACACTCCGTGTTGCTATACACGTAAGCCATTTTTAACACTTGGAAAAGTATTGTAATACCTACCAAAATCGATTTTCAGTATTTGGGAACGCCTGGGTCACGTAGAGAGAGAGCGAATTGCGTACCTACAGCGCACAACGCGAATGACGCTAGAGACTATAGTAGCCCAACGATGTAAGGGTTCTAAATACTACAACTTCAATTTTTTTTCTCGAAAACTGTAAGGATTTTACAAAAAACTTTTTACGATGTTGACTTCATTTTTCATGACACATCTATTTTCAAATTTTTGTAATACAAGCTGGGACGCTTGCTAGTTTATTTGTTAGCTCTCGAAACGGATGGGCCAATTCTGACAGTAAAATATTTCACTCAACAATAACTATTGAAAAGTTAAGGATTTTCAAGTAGGTTTAGCTTCGCCATAAAGTCGTCGAGAGACTAGTGCCTTTTTGTCACCGGGAGTAATAAAGCAAAGCCGTCCTTCGGAGAAGGCCTCATGAAATTTAGCAATGTTTTTGAACAAGTTGACTTAGACCGTCGAGCATCTGGTATCAAGGGAATATTCGATATTTCTAATAACGCGCGAAATGCATTCGAAAGGACGTAGGAATTCCAAGTTATTTAAATAAGTTGTTATAATGTTGTGAGGAAAATAATAATAGACCAAATAGCTGGTTTTTAGGTGGATTTTCCAAGCTATAAGGATATATTAAATGAGATTGACTAATCCGTCTCGTGTCACCTACGGAGTCACAAGAGGAAGGTGTAGGTTATTTGTAAGTTCAGTTTAATCTCAAAACAATACATACAATTGTAAATTCAGTCAACTAGATAATTATTAACATGGTATAGTTATGCCAAAGCATCCCGATATTCAGGGATCCTGCTAGTAAGATAAGAACCGAGATTTCGGAACCCAAGAAATGGGCGTGTCGAAGCGCGGTGTCGAATTCAGGAGAGATCTCCGAAAAAGGCAGTTTCTTCTTCGGTTTCACATTGAGCAGCCTACTTAGTTTTAGAGTCTCGGGTTAATTTATAATAGATAAACTCTTTCCAAATTTTGCTATGGATCTCGCATTCCCTGAATCTCGGTACGCTGCCGTATGTAAATAAATCAACAATGTTTGTTCGAATCTGTTGTGTTTCCGTTGTTTTGTTAGTTTTGTTTTTATTGTTATTAAAACCCTTCCTGGAAAGTTTTTGTATTTTCTTGTTCTTCCAACTTAAGTGTCACCCTATACAACCAATCACTGGATTACATTCTACATGAACGACGTACGGTACTTACCGTACGTCTGGAATTCATTCTCTGAACGTACAACATTTCTAAATTCCCACGTATTAATTAAAGTGTAATGACAATTATAAACTCCCTTTCGAGAAGTAAATGGTAAGTTAATATCGTTATGATACTGGTCATAACGGTAGATGGTTAATAAAGAAATAATCCCTCAGGTTCCATTTTTAAGGATAAGTTGTGAGCCACCTTGTATAACAAGTGATTTTTATTTGTTTATGTATGTCTCTACCCTCAATTGATATTTTGAATGTCATCAAAATGAAATCGAATACCATTTGATTTGCTGATGCACTGAGTGTCAGTGGATCGTCATTTAATTGTTATTATGACAAATTATTTATCTTTTATATTAACTAAAATAGAAGATTATGGAGATAGTTTTGTAGTTTGAAATACATAAAATCTTATAATAACAAACATAAGCATAATATAAAGAAACTACTATAATTTCTTTCTTACATAAATGTATGGTACAGTCTTTTCGATATGTCTCCCTTACTACTAGAGATAGATCTACTAAATAATATATAATTGTAAATACACGGTCGATAGGTGCACGGTTTAAGGCGTCAGTACTTAAATCGATGTGTCGATCTGCCCGGGTTTCGAATCGCGCGGCCGGTAGGCCGTAGATTAGCTATGCTTGTACGGAGGATTGGCACCCTCTGTGCAGGTATGGTAGGGTGGAAGAATGTTGGCTTGGGTCAATGTGAGAGATTGACACCGGTTGGCATTTGACCACCCCCCTAATTAATGAGGTTTTCCAGGTTTCCCTCATTCCTGCACTGAATGGTGGATAGGGCCTACCAACATAAGTCGTTCCTGGGCGCAAATGCGGCCTGCGTAATAATAATATGCCGCCTCCTCTCCCGCACAAGTCTCCGACTTCTGGGCTAATTCTCGTGGTTAGAATGAGGAGTAGAGATATTATTATTGAATCTATGGAAGAGTTGTATCCAAATAAGTAAAAGTATATGTATGTATATGTATTTTTGTCTTTGGGTGTCGTTTTTGATACCAATCAAACAATTCTTAAACAAGTTATAAGGGGTATTTAAGAATCCCCATGTAGGCATATAATTTAATTGATAATAAGTTAAATTTTTTGAATTAATTTAAATTATCCAACATCTTTAAAGCATAGGTACTTACGTTTTGTTTCTTACACAGTCACTAGTTGTCAAACAAGCTCCTTCAAAGTTATTTGTTCCCTGAATATTTTTGTGTATTTACATTTATTTTTACATTTACAAAAAAGTGTCAGTGTAAAATATTTACTGATTATGAAACCTTGCTGCATTTCAGGAAAACAAAGATCCATCACTGAAAGCTCTGCTCCGTTGGATGCCCATGAATGCCAGTTTAGGCGCTGCAACTCAGAACGACGAGCTGTGGGGAGACGAGAACGAGGTCTTCCATAACAGCACGAATGCTTTTCCAGTTACAACGGCACTGTGTGGCGAGATTTACAGGAATTACCATGAGGTGAGTCACGGGTGGATACTCATCAATCTCAGTCAAAGCGTCATTTTACGGATCTGTCTTTCAAAGGTTTTGTGAACCATTTTCTTAGAAATATACGGCACGTTCCTTTATGCTTAATAACTCAGGCATCAGTTCTTAATCAAGAACAATGATCTTTAGATACACGATATAACTGAAGCGTTGGAACGATCTTTTAGAACGTATTCCTCTCGACAAAACAAATAAAATAGTTTTTCTAAAGTTATCCTCCAAAGATAGAATGTGAATCACAGTTTGTAAACAAATTAATTAAAAACCATTAAAGATCAGATCATCTATTAAAATGAACTCATTGAAGCCTATTTACTATAAGTAAATTGCTTTTAGTGAAGCAAATTTTGGGTTCAATATTTGATGGAATTTATATCTTTAATGGAATAACTGTTGTGTGCTGTCACATTTATCGAAATAAAATCGACTTCACAGAAAATAAAGACCAACATCAAAAACATCCATGTATCAATATGTAAGACTAATCTGTTAGTATATTTTGATATAGTTTTAAATTTCACACAGAGATTTATATTTTCCATGAAATGTCAACAAAATGTCAAAATTGTGCCCAAAAATTTCTGCTGATATTATGGAACCTTTCAAAAATTATTTTATTATTTAGAAAACTGTACCTTGGTTACCTAATTGGATGTATCTCATCAAACCAAAATTATTGACGATTATAGACGCAGATATAAATATTTTTGCACATCCAGAACATAAAATATCATACATTTTTTTTCCAAATGGATTTAATTTTGAAAGTTAATGTTTACTTTTCAATATCAATGGAAGTAGATACATTTGATAATTTTGGAAAATGTATTCATGTTTTCGTCAAGAGTTTTATTAAAAACATGTGTCACAATACTTTGTTTATTATTTATTCTAAAAGATAATCAAACGACATAGGTACCTAATAAAATTTATCCTCTCTGTAATATTTGTTGGTATTTTGCATCTTCATTTATAGATGTTTAGCTTTCTACAATATCTTAAATAGAAAGTTCTTTCCATAACTTACTTTTTATAATATTTAGGATATGGAGTAGTACGAATTTTTTTAGTTCTCAACATCAGGTGTTAAATTTTTGTTTGGTGTGAGAGTTAATTTATTAATAACACAAAAAAGAAGTGAAAGTTTTGAAAGACAAGACCATGGTATCCATATGGTTTAGGGGTCGCTGAATCCGAATCAGGTGTTCGTTTAACACGATTAGCTCTAGTTTAAGGTCAGTTCAAGGTCAAATGTAGAAAATCAATTGCCACCGAACTAAAACTACGTATCTATACGTTTTTGGGGTCACTAAATCCGAATCTCATGTCCGTTTGACCCGATCAGGTCTACTAAATACTTTTTGATAGAAAAAGATCAATCAACATACAAAAAATGTTTATAAAAACCAACCTCAGAGTGAAAAATTTGGGTTTGAGCAGAGAGAAAGGTTTCACCAAGACATTAAAGAAGGAGGAAATTTTAGTGGCAATTAAACTATCACTGATAGTGCTAGTGATACTAGTGATGGCGAATATATTCCATATCACGTTATGACAAAAACAGGAACAATATCCCAAGAAAAAGTAAATTATGTTATGTATTATGAGATTTGGGCCTGGCAGAGGATGGACAGAGTTCCTAACATCATGGCTAAAAAAATACTAAGCAAGCCGGAAATGTGAAATCTCCTTATTATCGGTGCAGAAATAAGGAGTCTCGAAAATATTTTTCTTACGATGAAGAATTTTTCTTAGGTTACTGCAATGATATCGTTGGATTAATGAATCACTTCAAATATGGATGTTATAAACCTAACGAGTGGAGTGGATTGTTCATTGATTCGTCCAAAGGAAGCTAGAAAGCTGTTCTACTGCATAATACAAATGTGTATGCAGCCGTACCTGTAGCACATTGAAACAATAGTGCTTTAGTCTGAGGATAGTCTTATGTAGGATCAGATTCGAACAACACAAATGACAAATTTGTTAGAATCTTCACCATAATACTGGGCCAGCAATCGGGATTCACAAATATTCTTGTTTTTTATGTGAAACTCCGAATTCGGATTCAGCGACCCCAAAAACGTATAGTTGGTTTACTTTGTTGGCAATTAATTCTCTACATTTGACCTTGAACTGATCTTAACCCAGACCTGATCGGGTGAAACGAACACCGCATTCTATCAAAAACCTATGGATATGTAGGTTTACTTTGTGGGCAATTCATTCGTTTCATTTGACGTTGAACTAAACTTAAACCAGATCTGATCGAGTCAAACAGACAACGGATTCGGACTCGGGGCCCCAAAAACGTATAGATACGTAGGTTTAGTTTGTTGGCAATTTATTTTCTACATTTGACCTTGAACTGACCTTAAACCAGAGTTAATCGTATTAAACGGACACCGGATTCGGATTCAGCGACCCCAAAACTATCTGGATACCATGGTCTTGTCTTTCGGAACTGCCACTTTTTTATGGGGCTATGTAATACTAAATATTTTTGCAATCAATTTTCTATGGACATATTTTATCTAAAGAATGCCTGGTAAATCCATCTTTTAAATTAGTATTAGCCATCATTGCAGTCATGTCACAATGCAGGCGTTTCCAGGCAGCACAGCATAAATCCCTGCTTAATTAACCCACTATTGCATCAATACCTGTTTTAATTAAACCAGTTAATCTAAACAAGCGCCGCATTTTTCCAGTGTCATAGAAAAACACTATGCTGGTGAACTTTAGAGCTGATGGAATTTTAAAGTGAATGGCGTTCATTATTTTATTTTACTTTTAAATTTAACTTGAATTAAAAGGTAATTTAAATTGTCACCCCTAATGTAAATTAAAGCTCATTTGATTGATGACTTAACTTTTAATATTGTCTTTTGTCTTCTGCTCTGCAGTTGATTCTTTTATACATATAGACGAATCTAGACAAAATATGATCTCTTTTTTATCTTTTTTATTTAAGTTAAACATCTTTCACCATCTTATTTTAGATTAAACACAACTGGTCAAACTGTCAACTGATAAATGTCTCTCGTAAAAAAACTGTAGATATATTTTGATGCTTTAATTTTCAGTAATAATTTCCCTTGTATATTAAATTAGAAAAAAATGAGATGAAGGTTGACACAGAAAAGATATGTGATTTTAAATGAAAAGTTTCCTATGAGCATGGATCTGAAAATGCTGAATAAAAAAGGTGCAGGGTAAAAGTGCAGTACTAAAAATTTATTATTTTTGTAAATCCTTTTAAATATCTGATAGCACACAAATGAAATTGGAACAGGTCTTTAGATTATCGTTTGCAGTCTCATGGACGAATATTTTTCAGTGACGGGATACAGTGGATAATTCAATATCAAAAAATAATTGTTTATTGTGTTTTCGATAAACTAGTACAATTTTCTGAAAAGCCTCTACAGAAGATACAAAACAAGTATGTACTCCTATTCGATATCGATAATCTGCACCATTTGCGAAAAAATTGATAATAAACCTTTTTTTTGGTGCACTTCAATGCCACACTGAATTGAATCATGGAAGTTAATAAAAAATGCATTGTCATATTGCGGAAAAATAACTTTTAACACTAATGTTCACTGGCACTTTTGACTTTTGAAGTCGCCATCATCGAAGTGCATCAAAATATTTCTGAAAAAGCGATATCGATATCGAAAGTGTTGTTTCAGATAAATGCGTTATTTTACTGTATATGTTACGGACAATATTTTTTTGGTAAAAAAAATATTTGATTTCCTCCTACATTGTCTGATGTACTAGAAAAAAAGTATTTCTTCATGAGATCATTACAGTCGATAAAAGATCTGTACCAAGTTTAATTTGTATCTACTATATTGATGTAATTTAAATGTGTGTATATGATAAATTAACTATTCTCTTAAAAGACTTCGGATGTATGTTTATGAGGAACGTTTCTTTGAAATGATGTTTCCTATGTTCTGTTTCAGTTTAACGCCATATTTTTTAAATACCCAACATTTAGAAAAAGGTAGTAGGTTATTTCTTCTTCTTCTTCATCTAGTGGTTGGTCCTTTAAAAGTCCCATAGCACTGCGGCCTATTGTGCGTCCCACTATTAGTCCTATTCAGCAAGTAGATTTGTCCTTTTTACAAAGTCCAAAAGCTTCCTTGCTGACACTTCTCTCAGCTCCTTGGGTTCCAAATAGGGTCTCCCAAGGAGCGTGATTCTGCTACGTGCAAATCCCGGGCACTCGCACAGGATATGCAGAGAAGTTTCATCCGCCGATTCACATCCTCGGCAGACCGGACTGTCTACAAGCTTTAGTCTATGTAGATGTTTCCTAAAGTGACAGTGTCCCGTTATGAGTCCTGTCACTCTCCTGAGCCGGATTCTATTCAAGCTTAGTAACTCATTCGCTCTTCCATTCGAGTAGGTTATTTAGTTGTTTAATTGTTCGAATTTCGAGTATAAAGAATTATGCCACATACGTTTGCTTTTAAAAAATAGTTATATTATGGTAATCAAGTTTTATTAGTTTGTGTTCATCAATGCATTCCACGAAATGATTAAATTTAAAAAATATTATTTTCTTATTTTGATGATCTCCCTTTTACTTCATTGAAGTATAACAAAATTTTCTTCTATATCTCAGAATCTACACAGCAGAATGCTGTCGTATTAGGCCAAGAAGCAAGGGGTTACAACGTAGTTTTTATGTGTGCAAGATTTTGTCGATTGCATAGAAAATTCCCTGGGCAATAAATAAATTGTTTATAGAGCAAAATATTGAAAAATTCTGAATGGTCATAGGTATTTTTAGTATTGATCATTGTTTATTATGCATGACAAGTATCTCTAAAAAATTGTGTACTCTTTCTAAACCTTAATTACTACAACAATTAATAAAAAAAGTGATTCATTTTCTGTAACAACTGTTGGAAGCAGTTTTCATTTACTTCGAATCTTTAAAGGTGAATATC